TCATATTCGAAACCTCCGGTATCGGGCAGACCTCTTCGAAATTCCGTGTCGACATCCGCTTGATTACGCGCGTCTCTCTTCCGCTTCATTTCCGAACAGGCAGCCGGATTCGGCTGAAAATTTCTTTCCCCGCCAATGGCGCTCGGGATTTCCTGCTATCCGGATGGGATCCCGAATCATTTCGCTTAAACGATCCCTCTTCACCATCTGGTCATGCGAATTCGCGACGAATCTCCTGTCGACCAGTTCGCTCGTTAGACCTTTATTCCCGTTTTCCCTGACACCTTATTTAAGCCAGAGATACAACACTCTCTGACGATACGCAGGGTTATCGATTTAGGATTAAAATATGGGCGAAGAATGTAGGAACTGGACGATTTACTCGTAATCATTGACAGGTACCGTATTCATAACGTGTCAAGAGATTTCTCGTGTTCTTCGCTTCATCTGTAGACCGATGAACTGAGTGGACATGTCTTGTGAACTAAATAGCGATTCCAAAAACTAGAGCTGAGTTTCTTACTCTTTCACCATGAGAATTCCAATAAACAAAGCAGTTGGTTAAACAGTGATACACGTATAAAGATAATCTAAAACTACCCTGACTCCTTCGATTGCCAAAAATATTGCAGACCTATCGATGGATTGTCGAGGAATGTTTTCCCAATGGACCTAATTTTCGTTCTGTTCACTCGTTTTCTCTTGATTCCTCTTTTATGGCCCTTTTCCTATTTAGGTCTCAAGATACCACAGTATTAAACAAAATTATCTTACGTCTAGTTAGAGCATATTCGGAATTTGGTAATGTGACGTAGTTCTAAGTATACCCCTCACCCCTTCAACTGCTAAAAATATTGCAGACCTATCGATGAATTATCGAGGAATATTTTCCAAATGGATCTGGTTTTCGTCCTGTTCACTAGCTTTCTCTTTTATGGCCCTTTCCCATTTAGGACCCACGATACCACAGTATTAAACAAAATTATCCTACGTCTAGTTAGAGCGTATCGGGATCTTGGTAACAGCTAAGAATATGACATAATTCTAAATATACTTCCTTTAAACACATGATCTGAACGGATTTGGCTGATAATTAACAAGATAAACGCTGTTTTACCGAAAAATGAATTTGGCCAAGGTGATAAATCAATTCAGAATGCCGTAAAGTAGTCATCGGGTAAAATAAAGAGACTCAAACTCGTTATCCCAAGATCTCCATAGCTGGGCAGTCTGAGGTCATCCTGCTAGCCAATCTCATCACCCTAAACGTACCATCGTGTTCCAACCCCTCGCAGTACCCGCACTCCTTCCATCATCGTTTCACCCTTAAAAGCCAAAACTAATCATCCATTATGCAGACCCATGTACGCTCGAGTTCCATTAATTTGCCATTAATTTACCCGGAACTCGTCGGTCACTCGTGATAGCGATTCTTAAAAATCCATGTCTCGTATTGTCGAAAATTGAAACGGAAAGGAACGAATAAAACTAACTTCGGAGAGTCTTGGAGATAAGTTTCGTTGGAACGATAACTCGTGGCAAACTCACGGGGGAGGCAAACAGGGTAATCTCGGTGTACTTTGGGGAACTGCGGATTTTAATCCGGTTTCGAAAGGGAACGGTTTGCAATGAAATTAGTCGCGGTTGGAACGTGGTGCGGGGGTGGTGAAAGTAATCGATAATTAATTTCATAACGCCGAATTCTTATTACAATTGTCGAGTGCAATGGGAACCGTCGGCCTGCCGGAGCAACCTTGGCGTTACATACTCGATGTCGAGTGGGGCCTTTTGCTTGTGAAACGCTGTGTAATTACGGAAAACGAGCGAGAATAACAATTAACACCGTAACGAGTGAGGGTAGCCTCCACCCCCGTTAAGCAAAGCTATTCGGACAAGGACCAGGAAACAGAATGGAACTCGAGCCTGCGATAGAGGTTATAAGCTCCAAGGTCGTTCGAATTTACGCGCGCTACACACGCAGGGGCGTGATTTCCGAAAGGAAACCAATTAGTTTCACCTACTTTCGTGGTGAACGTATATCGCCGGTACGAAAAGCACCTGTGTAAAATATTCCCGCTATTTGGCCGCGAGATAGGTCAACGATACGGAGTCGGCGAAATAAAATGTTTAATTTGCGAAATATTAATTTCGAGAGGCAGAACGAAACGGGAGTTCCAATAGGAATATTATAAATATGGAGAAAAAAATTACACGAGTTTCTACTCGATACGATACGGGATATAATTAGAGCCAGTGAAATGAAATTTTTAATTTATGGAATATTAACATCAAAAGACGAAATGAGACAAACGTTACTTTCAGGCTGTAATCAGGATACAATTACAAACATGGGAAGCAAAATTACAGAAATCTCCATTGCTCCACTGCAAGGATAAAGCTTTGCAGTGTCTATCGCGATATTAGAGTCGCTGAGAAAGGAATTTTTAATTCACGGAATATTAACATGGGAGGATGGTATGATCAAATATATCGTGCAATAGGAAAGTTTGAGGAACAAAGCTTGACAAGCACCGAGCACGGTTTAATAAGAGGAATCGATGGAAGAACAGGCGGAGGTCTTCGAATGCTTTAAAAAGTTTGAATCTGATTCGCGGCGCGTTCGCAATTATTGCGATTCTTGGAGCAGAGCAGAAAGGATTAAAGTAGAGGGTGCGACTTAATACTCGAGCTCCAGGGTTGCTTAACGCATTGGTATTCGGTCGTGGTGCCCGTCTAATGCCTTGCTTTTGTCTCAACAGGGGTGAATGCAGAGGGCCAGCGATTTTCCTCGAGGACGACGTAATGGCCAGACCGGATCAGTCTTCTCTTCGCGTCCTTTCTCCCTTTTCTCTTCTTTTTATTCCGCTTCCAGGCGGAAAGTCCTTCACCAAAGGGTTCCGCGGATGGGAAAAGATAAGACAAGATAGAGGGTGGTGCGCTCGAGCAGCGTTTTCGGAAATCTGGGCCAACGAGTTTAAACGAAATCGAATATACGACTGCTCTTTCTCGAAAAAGTGGATAAATAATTTTCGCGAATATTAGTTAATTGCGGAGACTATATACACGCATTGGGTAGTGATACGTAGTTGGAAAAATTAACCAGTCAGCTGTGTTTGACGACTATATCCGTCATGCGCAAAATTTAGTTACCATTTGCTATTTAATTTGTAATTTTAGCGAAAACTAAAATATATTCGTAAATCTCAATTTGTTTAGAATTTTTGGAGGCCACGACGAAATAGAACAAATAAAAAGTATAAATAATCAAATGTACACTGTGAAAACATTGACTTATTTAATGTATCGTTATGCTCTTTGAAGGTTATGCTCTTTAAGACTCAACTATACCTCGGCCATTTTATTTTTCTTTTGTTTTTTTCTCCTTTTTTTTAATTATTTTTCATTCCATTACTTTCTGTATTACTATACTACTACGTTATTACTGTATATTTCATTTTACTATTTTTGTTGTATACCAAAGGACTTTTATCCGTTAATGAAGTATTATTATTATTAATTTGAGGTGGTTTCACGCATCCACCAAGAGGTCGCCACAGCTGACTGATTAAAAGACAGTGGAATTCTTAAGAAATAGACGATAAAAATGAAATATTTTTTAAAGTAACGGCGAATTTTATGTCACTTTCCGTATTCGTCGTATCTCGCTGGAAAATATATATTTGGAAGTTTATGAAATTACAGAAAAAGAAAGTGCAACTGCTATAAAATTGGGGGAATAAAATATAAAACTCGGGGTTGCTTATCGTAACTCTACTTTACAATTGACCAGCGCACGGCCAAGAGCCGATAGATGGGCGATCAATAAAATTTGCGAGAAGTACCCTGATCCATTTTCCCGTTGAAACAAAGCTCTCGAAGCTTTCTATTCCGGTTGTCCGGACGCTCGCGTCATTACAATTAAATCCGAAGTGTCCACTTTTCTCCCGGAAGGACGCAGCCTGATCTTGAGAGGACAAAAGGAGAACGATCCGCTCTTCGTTTGCCATAAAACAACCCCTACACTTTTATACAAGTTCATTCTTTTCGAGATACAGCACGTTCCTATCCCACCTCTCTCGTCCGAGCTTTTCTTCCCTCCTTTTCCTCTTTTTTCCGTGCCACGGCAGCCAGTTACGAACCAAACAACCCTCGTATTTATGAGGGATCCTCCGCCGGAGGAAACAGGGTACACACCGCCAATTTCCACCGATCCACCCTCCTCGTTCCGCGTTCTTCCCGGTGCCGTCCCAATTTTTCCGACCCATAGCTTTTAACGAGGAGTTCTCGTGGCAAATGATCGTTCTTTATCGATAACCAGAGCTCTTCTAACAGCGTTTTTACTCGTCAACCCGTTCGCCGTGGGCCACGTACGAGCCACCGCGACACGGCCATTTTGTTGCGGCCCGCACGGCTAATGGCGGGCATCGCGCGCGCGCTAACGTTAACGAAGTTTTCACAATCCTCGGTGACTCTTGGCGGGTCTGTTACCTCGGTCGTGGAAATAATAAAAAAAAACGAGAGTGCCGGAACGATTACCGAGGAAGAATACGCGAATGCAACGCTCGCGGACGGGTTCCCATGCTCGTGCTCGTTGCGGGAGAAACCGGAGCATAGAATTGGCGCGCGTTGATCTATCAGGAAAGAAAAACGGAAGGCCAAGGAGCCAGCCATTATTCGCCGGGCGATCATTAATATTAACGCGCGCGTAGAGGAAGAGAAATTAAAATATAATCGAACGCAGACGGAAAGAAAAAGCGTGGCAATTGTTGGATAATTCCCGGGAGAAATTAAAACGTCGCTGCCTGCCCGAGCGAATCGATAAAACTTCCATACGATTAAGACTCCATATATCTCGGCGCGCGGACCCTTTTAATTAGAGAGAAAGTAGCGAGCCGGCTTGAATTATCGCCGTGGAAAAAACGAGCAGGGCAGAGGAAATCGCGAGTACACCTGCTGTTCACCCGTGTTATATTAACCCTGTGCGTTTGGTTATTTTCCAGGAGCCGCAGCCGCATCCCGCGTCTACGTCGACGCATTGTCTCGATTAGCACGCCAGGCGCAACTGGGCACATGGGGTGGTTCCAAGGATGTCGGTAAGTCTCGCAATCTTTTTATCTTTTTCCCTCTTCCCCCCGTCTTTTCTCGTCCCGTCTACCACGACGTGACGCGATACCGCGGGAAAAATGGCGGAAATTCGCAACGAAACGCGATGCACCAGCGAGCGTACGCGAGACGCGACGCGTGTCGAACCGGAGGACACCGAGGTTCGTCGTTCGACGTAATTACGGTGAATTAATTAAAATTTGTCACGTAATTATCGGCGAATGAACGCGAGCTCTAGTCGGTTCTTAAACGACAGCTGCGTCGGCGGAGGTTAATTAATTAGCGTTGCACGCATCATTAGACGGGGAAATAAATCGTTGTATCGCGGCGTGGCTGTATGGCCGGAAAATTTGTTTGTGCCGATCGTTACGCTTTGTTCGAGCGCTTTTGCCCGGGCACGCGTTGAATTTAGACCAGCAGTTTTTCATCCCCACGACTTTGTCTTCGTTTCGATGCGCCTCTTAATTACCAGATTGCCCGCGTTCCGTGATAATTATTTCAATTACGGCGACGCAGCCGGCGATATTTATAGCGAGTTAATAGAGAGCCGGGCGCAATTAAAATCGGCCAGCATGCCGATTGATATACAGCCGGCACGTTTTTAATTGTTTTCGGTGATTTTAATGGCCGGCAAACATGGTCCGGCCGACGCGCCGAATTAATAAGAATTTAAATTCGAATCGATTTGTTTCGTTCGCTTTCACGGGTCCTCGATCCGTGCCGCTAACTTTCGCAATGAAAAACGGGGCGCAAAGCATAGGGGAAAGTATATTTTTTCTACCATGACACGCCGAGTTCGGGGAGAGGGGAGAGGGGGGCTCGGATAGGCTGCTTTCGAAACGTATTAACGCATGACAATGTATTAATATCGTCGAATGCGATAATCCTAATACGTTTGATGAAATAATTCACGGCCTGTTGCCACGTCGAAATTAACGCCCGATGGGGCAACAAGGAACGCATTGTAATATAGTTGTAAAGTAATTGCACGATAATAGAATAATTAACCCGGGCCACCGATGTTTCGATATCGTTACACGGACCAACGTGGTACTGTTACAAACGCCTATGTTAAAATTCGCTAACGATAAGCACTAAACTGTCGGTAATTCGCGGAGATCGTTGCAATGGCGGCTGCAGCGAATTCTGCGCGACCGCGGTTCCATCATGGCGAACTCCGTGCTTAAAATTTCACTCCTTTATCTATCCTTTTATTTACCCTCATTTATCCTACCCCGCGAGATGGGAATGAAATAACGAAGTACGAATCTGTATTTGTTTCGCCCTCTCTGTCTCTATAGCGAATTAAAAAGCCTTGCTACCCTTTTGTCTCGGCCCGAATTTTCCACTCACGGGGTACCGGGTGGTCCGTAAAATGAATTAACACTCGCTGAAAAGGGTGGAACGAGCGCGAGTCGCATTTTTTCTTACCTTCGACGAAGTTTCGCCTGTCGGTGCGAGAGGAACGCAGGACGAGCACTCTCGTGGCTTCCAAAGCCAATAAAGGTTCACCCGTTTAACCGTCTGTCTCGCACCGCCGGCCTTATGCCTGTGCACGGGGCACGGAGGGGGTTGGAAAAAAGTTGCTAACAGGATCATTGCAGCGTGATAAGTGTACGTATTAAGGGCTGGGTCGATAACCTCCGAGTCCCGGTCAGCCTCGAGGTAAGAAACGAACGCGCGAGACGGAGGCGAGTCTTAGGAAGCTGCCCAACTGCGACGCAAGTTTTATTTGTTTCTCGGTCTCAACGAGAAATCCCATTCGAATCCAAACGAATTGCACTGTACTCGCTCGGAATTTTCCACGCGACGTGTCGCGCGTGTCCGCGCCACTGCAATCTTCCTTGCAAGATTTTTCTCCGTATTGGAAGGGGGCTTTAAGTAATCGAGATAACGCGAGATTGTTTGGTAGTGATAAAGGGAAATTAGGAATCTCTTTTTTACGAATTTTTACGAGACTTTATGAATATTTTGGAATATATGATAGATCTGTCATGGTCATGTCAGATGCTGCAGGTGGATGAGCTCTATTCACAGAATAATCTAATTTTTCGGACTACCGCGTACGTCTTGTACTAGATTTATCAATATTTATCAATGACTGAGAAGTCAAGACAATTATATTTATTTCTAAACGCGTTCAAGTTCTTCCTCCATATCATATCGCAATGGAAAAAGAATCGATGTGGATTTCAGAAACGTGTGTCATATTACTGTGATACTAATTAGCAATACGAGTACGAACATATCGTATTTATACCAAATAATTAGAAAGTGTAGGTCGATATCTGTACTCACCGAAACTTCTAACGAGGTAAACTTTCGCCTCAGGATGATAGAACTCCAAGTGGAACATTGTTTGCAACTTCCATCTTCGAGTCTCGAGCATCATAGAATCTGCAAAAATGCAAATAACAATTATTACAAATACATTCATCTATACTATGAATAATAGTTTAAAAAAAAAAATCTGAAAAAATTCTTATAGCATCCTCAAGTATCCTAAATTATTATAATAAACATTTTAATAAATATTCTCTTTAAATATGAATATATTACACATGTCCCCCACAAAAAGAAATCGAATAGCTCGAAATGGATGGAGCGAGAACAACCCCTGTTGAAGCATCGATAATTACTACATTTATCCATTACATTTAAACGTCCCCTGTATTATATATTTGTTTATAAGGAAAATCGAACAGCTCGAAACGAATAGGAGAACAACCCCTATTGAGGCATCGATAATTATTGCACTTATCCATTACACTTAAACATCCCCTGTATTGCATATTTGTTTATAAGGAAAATCGAACAGCTCGAAACGAATAGAAGGAGAACAACCCCTGTTGAAGCATCGATAATTATTGCACTTATCCATTACACTTAAACATCCCCTGTATTGCATATTTGTTTATAAGGAAAATCGAACAGATCGAAACGAATAGGAGAACAACCCCTATTGAGGCATCGATAATTATTGCACTTATCCATTACACTTAAACATCCCCTGTATTGCATATTTGTTTATAAGGAAAATCAAACAGCTCGAAAAGAATAGAACGAGAACACCCCTGTTGAAGCATCGATAATTATTGCACTTATCCATTACACTTAAACATCCCCTGTATTGCATATTTGTTTATAAGGAAAATCGAACAGCTCGAAACGAATAGGAGAACAACCCCTATTGAGGCATCGATAATTATTGCACTTATCCATTACACTTAAACATCCCCTGTATTGCATATTTGTTTATAAGGAAAATCGAACAGCTCGAAACGAATAGAAGGAGAACAACCCCTATTGAAGCATCGATAATTATTGCATTTATCTATTATACTTAAACATCTCCTGTATTACACGTTTGTTTATAAGAAAAATCGAACAGCTCGAAACGATCGGAACGAGAACTCCTGTCGAATCATCGATAATTATAATCGTTAAATTTATCCAACAAAAAAGCGTCATAACTCGCGTATCCAATATAGAAAAATTGCGAATCTTCTTATATACCCAGTCGACTATTTCGAAACATGATGCAAGTAATTAAACGTAAGGATTTCTCGAGCGGAGCACTGTTTTGAAAGATAATACAAAACGAGTTGCCGAACACGCCTACGTTGTATCATCCTCACGGATAGTGGGCGAAGTTAACTGCAATCGGTGGTTGGGTAGAATATCCGAGCCCTGGATATAACCCCCGTTAAGTGCATACGAGACGCCCTAGGGCGCCTTCCAATTTAAACTCTGGCCTGTGTGTGCTACCTCGAAATAGGGTTACCCTATTATTATTTGTCGTTGCGGCTGGCCACGGATAAGAATAAAACAGATAAATTATCGTTCCATCAGGCTTACTTGCAATTTCACACGACGACGGGTGTTCCTCTTCCAATTAAACTTGCTTTAACTTAAATTGTTCCCACATCTCGGCTACCTCCGATCATCCGTTTCTAACAGCGTGCCCGAGTTGTTGCTTCAATCCCGCGTAACTCGTCGCGATGGAAATTGTAAAACTGCGCGATTCAATTACGCGGTGTAACGAGGGTGAAACGTTGCCGGGGAGAGGAGGGGACGAACGATAAGGAATCGAAAGGAAATTTCCGGAAAATTGACTGTTATCGGTGAAGTGTCGCGCTGCTGAAGGGAGACACTCGGAGTTTCTTGCAACAATCGATGGGTAGCGGGCTGGAATATCTTATTACCTCCATTTGGCCGTCTGGCAGTTTTCCAGTGTACGCCAATTTGCACTCGTTAAAGAGATGCCTTCGGAAACTTGCCGCGTAGACTATGTTGACTAAACGTTCTCCCCTTTGCAGAACTCAATTTTCATTAGACGCGCCTAACTTCCTCCCGGGATACTGCATACTTTTATTCCCCTCTTTACTGCCTCCTTATTAAATTCTGCAGTGACGAATGACGCGGCATTCGTCTTTCTTCCCGTTTCCACTTCGTTTCCATGCAAAATAAGAAACACGCGTACCATTTCGTAATAAATCACTCTGGGGAGCTGCGGGCTTTTCCGCGCTTTGCTTCGATCATTATACTTGCTACGATCGTTGTACAATTATCGACTGTTCCTACATACCACTGTTCCCTCTATTGTCTCGGCTGTTTCTTTGCCCCTTAATACCCGTTGTTACTTCGTTACTTCGGAATAATAGTCACTGTCGGAAAATATCTCGGCAATGGCTCTGCAGGAAAATTTCTGATAAATTTTCCTCCTGTCAAAAATTTCACGAGAAGCGAAATAAATTTGCGATTCGTCCGAAACCTTTCGCCCCGATATTTTTACGCCACTCCGAGTCCAAATTACCCCTAGATTCTCTCGAATTTCTTTGTCCCTTAATTCCAGTTGCTACTTCGTTACTTCGAAATAATAGTCACTGTCGGAAAATTTCTGATAAATTTTCCTCCTGTCAAAAATTTCACGAGAAGCGAAATAAATTTGCGACTCGTCCGAAACCTTTCGCCCCGATATTTTTACGTC